CCACCGAGCTTCTCGTTATGGATTCTAGCGCGTCGGGCCTTCTCCACAGCTTGGTATTCTTTTGCCATCTCGAGTGCAATATGCTGCTGACGGTTAATCTCTCGTCGCCAGGCTAGTGCCTCAGTCTGGTTACCAACACCTCGCTTAATAGAGGTCGTCATTGCTCGTAGCGTAGTATGGGCATCCCATCCATGCACCAAATAAAATGGCGTCTCTTTGCTGGTCATATCATAAGTGTTGTTGATCGCAAAGACTAGTCGCTCGGCGATCTCATCCCAGCCTTGCTACAACGGGTCTTCCACATAGACCTTGACCGACGGCATCACTGTCTTGACCGATCGCTCTTGGTGTCCATTTGCTTGTGGGCGATAGCTCAGGGTCGACCACGACCGCGCTTGTATTAATTCAGCTAAGGCCTGGAAGACCTCGCTCATAAAGCGTGGGTCTCGGTTCTGGCGAATATAGAGACGGAGCACCAAAATCGTCTGTAGATGCATTCTTCGAACACCTTTGCCACAGTCACGGCATCGGTATCTGACATCGCTTTAGCGATCCGAAACCCAGTAAACGAGCACTGCCATAGCAACAGGGCAGTGTTCCCTCGAAAGGATCTCGGCAGAGGGATCACAAAGTCCATTGACACCACCTGGAGTGGTCGCTCTACGAGCGCATTGCCAGGTGAGTAGTCTTTAAGCTGCGGTAAGCTCTTACTCGAGCTACAGTCGAGACATGGTTTCACATGTTTCTCTACATCTGCGTAGAGGCCGATCAAGTAGTAGTCGTGTTTACGCGTTGATAAGAGCGGACGACACCTTGGTGTCCTCCTTCAATGGAATCATGACAGTTGTGTAGCACTTCTTGGATCATTGTGGTTGGCACCACGAGTCTCAAGATATCTCTGGCAGGTTTCATCGACCTTTCATCTGCTCACACCCGTGTAATACAGGACATTACCACTCTGTTGCACGAAGTTGTCCGCCCACTTCCAGGCTTCTCGAGCATCTTTGTAAGTCATCACTGTGGTTTCTCCTGTGATGAGGCAGTTTCCCAGTTTTCAGGATAGACCGATTTTGGAGTGCGACAATGGAGATCCAGAGATATTGTTTGGTGGAGGTGAAGCAGATGGTGAGAAATTTGTGGAAAGAAAGTTGGATGTGAGTGGTGAGTGTGTGGAGAGCCAACGAAACAACGCCAACGGTCCCGGAAGCACGCGTTTCAGTGATGTGCACTCTGAAACGCACATGTGCTCGGTCCGGAGCCGCCCCCGTCCTGAACACAGGTTGCCAAGAAGAAGCTTAAATTGTCTACGTGAACGTATCGCGTCAGACTTTGCCTGGGCTCAAGGCACCTCAGACTACAACAACCCAATGCACCGCATAATACCTCAAGAACGTGAAGAACTACAATGTGTGGATTATCCAGAACCCAAGCATACTGTGTGAATATGTTACGACTACGATGGAATGCGATAGGACCCAGAAACCAACGATTCTGACCCTTATAAGCCTGAAACGAGCCTCTTCCTAGAGAATTTGGGCCTCGTTCCAGACATTCCAAGCCTAGCTTTAGAGATCATCGATTACCAAGCGCATTCCCAAGCTATCAAGACACTAGAACAACAAACCTAGAAGTCTTACGACTGTGAGTGGTATGTGAGACAAAAACTTCTGTGGAGAGAAGACCAGTTTCAGAGCAGAAGAGCACGACCCGAAGGTGTGGAGGTCCAAGTCTGACGACAGCGAAGTACACCCACCCTATACAAAGACCAAGTGAATTCCCCCAAAGGTATACAGAACACAAGATATTACCAGAATGATTTAGAAAGAAGATAGTCGAAGTATAAGAGTGATAAACAGAGTTAGTTTTACCGAGTTAAGCGCAAGACGAATTCGTTCGGGGACCCGCAAACGAGGGCGCGTGCTGAAGGACGCCGCGTACTTCCTCAGAAGTTTCAAGTCGAAATTGTCAGTGGGGATCGGGCGCGACGTCGTTGCAGAGTTGATCCACGGCATTTCATTTCCCAGTTATGACCATTGAGCGAAGGTAAGGGTGGGGTTCCCATTTCATGTTAACGATTCTGCTTGAAGGGTTTAGTAGTCCCCTGCAAGTTTATAAGTAGACTGCGTTTCAGAGATTTGATAGTATTGCATCCCTCCTAGAGGGTGGTGCGCGTGACGAGAAGAGTGCGTTTCAGACTGACCAGTGTCTAAAGCTTATACTCAGTTGACTGGTGATAGACCCCCGTTCAAGGGTCTCCAAGAATAAGTAACGGCTGTATATTTGTATATTTTACTCTGTATTTTTGGCTATCTTATAAGGAAGTGTGTTCTGGGGTTTATTCCTAGTCTAATAAGGGTGAGTTTGAGACAGTAAACGTCCAACCCGTCACTCTCAGTGCCTACATTAACCACCAACCCGGCAGGTTGTCAGGCTGCCACCAAGATCGAACCCAAAGGGATTCACAAGGGCCACACGCCGACTCCGGAGCGTTTACGTTCTAGAGTTTCTGACCCCAGTACCAGAGAGTTCCCTAATTCTCTGGACCCCCTCGGCTATCGCACTATATACTTGCGGCGGAAAAGGTTCACTGACCTCGCCACAACTGGTGCGCGTGCCCGGATCTGGTGCCCTAGATTTCACCGTGGTTGGTTAATTAAGTAGGAAGAGAGTGTATTGGTTTGTAGTTAACTGTTGAATAGTTGTATATGACGGGACCAAGACACGCGAGCTGAACAAGTGGTATTCTTGGGCTTCGCGGAACGGTATTCCTGTCTGGCTAAGCGGAATCCCCCTCGATACCCAGGTGCAACACATTTCGGATTTTGTACTTCACGGCTTTCCCTTCGGCTACGGATTGGGGGCCCCGTCCGCAGCGATACAATTTCGGTGGTCCTACATGGTATTCGACACTTCTTCGCTGCCTCTGGTTTGTCCTTCCT